GGCTGGTCTTCATAGATGATAGTGATTGGCATTTCTTCTCCATACTTTTCTCGTATTGCCTTCACTGATTCATACATCAACGGCATTGATGTCCCTCCGTCAGCTGCACCATAATCCACTATGGTGAATACAGAGCCAGGTTTAACAAGACTGGATTTGATCGCTTCCAGTACCAAAGGAATTGCCTTTGCGTTCGCCTTGTAATATCCAAGAGCTTCAGCTGAAAAGGTACCCAATCCATCTGGTGTGTATGGAATATGCATACTGTGAGGGACCTGGATTGATGAAACATATAGTTTTTACAGCTGTATTTCTTGGCAAAAGATACATGAATTTGTATGAAATGTCTTTGAGACAGGTCTTCATCTATAAACACGTTCGAAATATACTATATACAGAAAATGTTTACAAGTTTTCCCCCTAAAATTGCAGTGCACTTTAATTTGCTTACTTTGTACACTATTCCAATTCAATTTTGACAGTTTTGACTGTACGCATAATGACACGGGTTTCGGAACCCCGGCTGTTTTTATAGTCAMGCCAAATGAAAATAATGAGTCAAGAATGAACTCCTTCGCACTTGTATCAGTACAGAAATGACCRTTTTTTTCTCTCAACTAAGAAGACGTTTTCTGATAATGGTCCAAATGCAACCCGAGCAAACATATACTGACACTTGAACACTTTTTCTAGGCAGGCATTATTAGTAGGAAACGTGTACAACAGAGTTGCAAATGATATATGTAACAATCTGTTATTTTATTCGTGTATTCCAGTACAAATAACTCCAGGCTACAATCCTGTATTCGAGTCCTTTTGACTCAAGTTCGAGGGATTTTACTTGCTCAACTCTTTTGCGGTCCACCGGCTCTTCTTAGGCTTACACTCGCCTCATACACCTTCTTCGACAGACGTGGTCAGACCAGTTACTATGCCCTAGAGATGCCCTTACAAACCCCTNGCCAAATGAAAATAATGAGTCAAGAATGAACTCCTTCGCACTTGTATCAGTACAGAAATGACCATTTTTTTCTCTCAACTAAGAAGACGTTTTCTGATAATGGTCCAAATGCAACCCGAGCAAACATATACTGACGCTTGAACACTTTTTCTAGGCAGGCATTATTAGTAGGAAACGTGTACAACAGAGTTGCAAATGATATATGTAACAATCTGTTATTTTATTCGTGTATTCCAGTACAAATAACTCCAGGCTACAATCCTGTATTCGAGTCCTTTTGACTCAAGTTCGAGGGATTTTACTTGCTCAACTCTTTTGCGGTCCACCGGCTCTTCTTAGGCTTACACTCGCCTCATACACCTTCTTCGACAGACGTGGTCAGACCAGTTACTATGCCCTAGAGATGCCCTTACAAACCCCTWGAGACCCTTCRCCCCAATGCACATTTCACACTCTGTTACATATATATTSATTAAACAGAATAAATCKTAAACTCTTGAAGCTTGGATTTTGCTATTAGTATATATCAGAGGTTAAGTATAGGATGGTTTTAAAACTTTTTACTTACGAAATGATCCTTTTCATTGCGATCCATGTCCATATTAGTCTCCTCGTAGCCGTGTTTAGTTTCGGTCACGCGTCACGCAACCTCTCCACACACGGCTGCTTCGACCAACGGCAGATTCCATTTCAATACATTAGCCAATCAGAGCTCGACTTGAGAAATCAAGGAGTCATTCGCGCTCAAAATGGCGTCCTTCGAAGAAGCACTCAGTATTGTCGCCGATATCCCCCCCTCCCCTTCCCCCACGCACACACACACCAGTGTCACATCTTCTTTTAAAACTCGACCTGGTGATAATTCTTCAGCTCTGTTCACCAAGAAGAGTTCCCAATCCTTTTCAGCTTGATTAGAAAACATTTCCTTTTCGTATTGGTCAGCAGTCATCGCTTGACAAGACGTAAGTGTTCTTGAAAGGTCACATGGTTTCTCTCTCAACCAGTGAATTGATGCCGCTGAAAATCCAAGATGGACGGAGTTCCTTGGGACACATTGACTGTAGAAGTTCGTACCACAAGCCATGACAAAGACATTTTGGAAATCCATGAGATAWGAACGCGGTCCTGRGWTGAAACCTGAGACAAGACAAAACGATTATAAGAAAGTCTTTTGGACGAAGGAATTTGATTTTCTTTCCAATACCTTGCATTCTCATGAAGACCGATTTATAATCATTGACAGGCTGGTCTTCATAGATGATAGTGATTGGCATTTCTTCTCCATACTTTTCTCGTATTGCCTTCACTGATTCATACATCAACAGCATTGATGTCCCTCCGTCAGCTGCACCAAAATCCACTATGGTGAATACAGAGCCAGGTTTAACAAGACTGGATTTGATCGCTTCCAGTACCAAA